TTCTTCAATATTCTCCTTCTCCAACCACATTATTTTTTCTACAGAAATAGAGTAAACACAACTTTCTCAATTGTTTTTTTTTTATTATTATTTATTATAGTTTTACCATAAAGGGAATCACTTTCTCCTGCGCTGACTGTAGCATAGTACTGCATGCATTCAAGAGAACCAACCCATGTAGTTTTGGGCACTAAACTTCTATCCCTCCAAACTGGTTGATGAACCCGTTGCAGTATTTCTGCTTTAGCAGCGCTCAGTATTATGTAGCCTTGAGTTTCACAGCCTTTGAGCAAAACTTGAGAATTTACCAAAGCAACTATAATAATGTAAAATATTAAATAAAAAAATATATATTACTATTAGTGCTGATGGATAACGTAAATGCTTACTAAGCCAATTATTGTGAACAACATCATCATTCTGACACGCCTGAAGTCCTTGCAGTTGCTGATCCTTGCTGATTTGCGCTGATAAATCATCACTGAAAACTAATGCTTTATTTTCAGCTTCTGCTATTAATTGTTGTAACATGGCAGCTGCATGTCCAGATTGAACTTTACTTAGCGGGGATGGGGTTGCAGTTGAGGCACTTTGTGTTACCTAATCAAAATTGAACATTTAATATTATAAAATAAAAATAGTATGCTATATTAAATGAAAGTCAATTATACCTGTAATGCTGGTGTTGGCGGTACAGGAGTAGATGCAACATCATTGGGTCTTCTAGATTTTAATGGTGTAGTTGAATTATTATCATTTCTAAAACCTTTCAAAGCTTCAGTCGAAAGATTTTTTTTCAATTGCTAAAGATATAAAAAATTAAAAATTTCAATGTTAAATGAGAAATAAAAATCACAATATTCAATAATTACCTTATTTTTCATAAATGTATCAAATAACGCAAAAGCAACGTCTCTATTGCTTTTTGTCCAAGCTCCTTTCAAATCTCGAACAACTAACTGATGTGTAGGAGTATTTATATCACGATTGGCCTGATTGCCTTCATGCCAACCTCTTACTGGTGCTCTCCCATAGGACACTGAATCCACGCTCAAACAAAAACATTTTTCTACTGGTAGATTGTCCATAGACTAAGAATAAAAGGTAAAATATTGGTTATTTTGAATTATACATCAATACTCATATTGCATTTAAGACAGTACTTCTCTAATATCATTAATATCCTCCTGCAGAGCACTTTTCAACCAAATATCTGTTTTGTCCAGCTGCGAAGTCATGTACATTATTGACCATTCAGCTCTTGGACGGTGGCGTAAACCATCGTTTATTGGGTGCAAAGATAAATTATGTTCTACAAATAATATAACTTAAAAATCAAGTTCAGAAGCCATATAATATTGTACATAAATATAAATAAAAATATTATGAATTATCTCACCAGAACTTGAAGATATCTTCTGACCATCTAATTGAAATCCGCGCTGTTTTGCAAATGACATCCAATAACAAACCTATCAAAACAATTGTTTATTATTAAATCTATAGAAAAAATAACATTGGATAATAATATACTGGTCATAATTTTATAAGTACCTGAAATTTGTGTAAACTAAAAATTAGATGAGCAGTCTTATAATGTCTGCTCAGTTGCGCTCTTCGAGGTCGTACGTTTTTGAAGACTGTTCCTCGCCTGGTCGGTCGTGTTACTCCAGATAATATAAGCTTAAGGCTTTCAAACCATCTATATAAAATTCATAAAAGTATTTTTATTAATTATGTTTTGACGAGTAGTTACTATATTGTTTTTCAATTACCGCAATGTGCTTCCGAAAAGAACTAGAATCGGATAATCTCCTTCGGTTTTCGGCATAACGTCTTTGGTTTCAAATGATATATTAATATTCACATTTTGTGAACGAAAAGCCCTGAATGAATCATGTTCCTGTAATAAAAAATTAACGCTAAAGAAAAGAAATATAGAATAAATTTAATCTAAAATTACCTGGTTGATGGAATATTCCGGTACTTTATCCGGGGCGCAAGGTATCACCGAATGATGATCATTAGGATTTGCTAAACAAATCCATTGTAATTTAATAGTTAATTTTAAATGTGGTATTTTTAATAATTGACAGTCGTCATACTTTGATGCTGTTCTTACGTATACATTAAAATTTCCTTTGAACACAATTTTGGCTAAAATGAAGAAATAATTTACAGCAATTCGAATTTCAAAATAAGCATCTTTAAAGCTTTAACCACAAACCATTTGTCCAATCCATTGCTACATCCGACCAAGATAATTCCATTTCTTCAGTTGTATTGTAAGGGTCTAAGGACGCGTGCAGGAGCACAGTTAATTGTTTGACCCACATTGTTAGTCTCCCATGGAATAATAATCTCATTTTATCCCAAAATGGTAAAGTTGGAGACGGATCCCTGGATGGTGATGATATTTTTTCAAAACCTATTAAAAATTAAATACAAACTAGTTAGTGAGAAGTTGAAAAGATTTATTCAAAATATTAAAAAAATCGTACTTACTGAGATTACATTGGGCCATAACAGGTTCCCAACAAGGTCCAAAAGCGTAACTCCACCGATCGACTTCACAATTGAAATCATGATAGAACTTTAACGTCGTCATACCTCGCTCAATCGTTTGTTGACCCCATGGTTCACCCAAATCAATAACCACATCTCGTTTAGCTAAAAAATACAATTTTATTAATTTTAGTACACTTTGTACCTACAAATTATATTGTCTACCTCTTCTTGGCGCTTCTTGTTCTGCACCAACTAAAAGTCCAAATAAAGTGAGGTTCCTGATGTCCAACATTGGCTGTGGATAATCTCGTAATAAAAATTTCCATTCCACGCAACTGACTACTACAGATCTGCACCAGAGCGTTGTAAATACAATACCTTCTTCAGGCCATGGGCTAAAAAATAATAAACATCAAAGTACTAAGTTTGAATAAAACGTGCAACAGTTTTATGCAGAAACCAACCTATCAGGATCGATACTTCGCATCACTTTTGTGCAATTTTCGGTGCCGTGTATTGAAGGATCAGCTAAAGCTATAATTTCAAGCTCATTTAAACACCTATAATAAATATAAATAACAAATTAATATTTTATAATTTAAATAAAATATGTGTAAATTACCAAGCAAAAAGTCTTGTTCGCGTCGGTCCAGAGCTACAAAGTCGCGATCTTTGGACATAAATTTCTGCATTCTTTTTACATAAATTTGTATATAATTCTTCAACTTTTCCAGCTGCCAGCAGAGGATGCGTTTTACACAATTCAGCAACCTTCATAATGATAATATGCTAATAGTTGCTGTACATGATAATTATAATATAAGTATATATAAACTTACTTTAGCATCTAACATTTTTTGCCTTTTCAAACTTTCTTTATATTCGTCTTCTAAAAGTTCATAATTATCCCTCAATTTAACTTCGAATGGATCATCACTCATTTCAAATAAAAATTCTTTGACCTACAATAAATCAATTGATTATAAAATTGATAATTGGAATAAAATATTCTTTATCATTACCGTAATTACTAAATCGCTAGGAAGCGGTGAGTCTATTGTAAAAGGTTTCTTTTGCCGTCCATGAATTATTTTTAACCATTTAAATAAAGAAATAAATTCATTGTGGATCGCATCTGCATACTGATGCTCGTAAGGAAAAACTGCTCTTAAACATTGTATAGTGACGCCCCTAAATAAAAAAATATGTTAACCATAAGGCTTTATTATAAATGAACAAATATTATTATTAGAAAAACGTACCAAATTTTATTTTTTGCTAGCACAAAATCTTCATTAACATTCCGTTCCTGAACAACTTTTTCATTGGTCGCCAATCGAGCCATTTGGAAACCTTGTATGGTAAAAATATCAGCTCCATCAATGTATATCACAATACAACTAACAGATATAGATAAATCCTCGGACGTTGTAATATTAATTTCATCTGAACAAATTACATACCATAATTAATTGTTCTAGAAGCTATTACAGTAAATAAAAAATTTACCTGCACAAATATTCATAAGATGTTGTTCAGAAATAAAAATTTCCAAGCTAATATCACCCTTTAAGTTAACATTAATAGACCATTTGGTTTTAGGTTTGCTCGGTTGTTTTTGTTCATTTTCAGTATTTTCTAAGATTTCTCCTTCGTCTATTTGCGATCGTCTAGTTTTAATACCAGTTTGAAATTGTTTGATATCTTTGTGCAACTCTATGAAATGTAAATGTAAGTTTGCACTCCAGTTCATATGCACTTCTTCTAATAATTGTATAGTCAATTCAGATAATTTGGAAGTACGCTTTAGGTCTATACGGGCTGTTTTGATATAACCAAAAAAATCCTAAAGAATAATGTATAGAAGTAATATTTAAATAAACCTTGACAAATAAAAAATATATAAATTTGTAAGTTTTTTTTACATCTATTTCATCAGCTCTAGGGCACAGAAAATGTTTACGGATTTCCATTACTGTACAGAATTTCAACCCATGTATATTCAAAGTACATTTATTAAAGCAGTTATCAACCATCATCGACTCTAACCGCATCATTGAACATACTAAAAGTAAATTAAAATTTTATGAGCAAGTTCAAGTTTAGTATAAAAATAATTATAAATGTACTTACAATTATTTTCTGTTATGAAGAATGTGTTTAAATTTGTAAAAGAAATATTCAACATCATGTTTTGGGTTAAAGATAAAGAGCTTTTGGGTGCTTTTAATTCTTTCATAGTTGTTGATGTAGATTTTTTACTATATTCTTGAACACATCTAGAACAATATGGAAGCTCTTATTTTTATCAGATGATGATATACCGAATGTGAAATCTTCTAAATGCTATACCTGGAGGCTTGGATGAGTGTTAAAGATAATTGTGGGCTCCATTCTGTTCTGATTGTATCTAACATTGCTTCCATTTTACAACCAGACTTTCCATGACTGCAAAGTTTCACTAAAGCCATTCCCAAATAAACGGAAGTGCCTAAAAATTTTTAAATATTTCAATACGTTTTTATTTATTTATTCATAAGTACAAATATAATTGTAGACTCTAATTTAAGTCTCATGGCTAAAATTCATAATAAAGTGATAGTAAAAAAGTGGCTTCCACTGAAATATAAATTCTATCAACATAGAAAAGTAACATACATATAAAAGTTTCAGTCTGTAAATATAAATGTATTAGATTCATTCAGTTAGTTCTGTTGATGAATAATAAGGTAGGGTTTATTCTTATAATTAATAAAGTAAATAAAAATTATATTCTTACCCCATATGTGATATTTCTTCATTTGCAATAAATCATTTGAATTAGTAGAAACTTTTAACCATAATGACTCCAGTAAAAGTTCTGTTGACCAGTGTCGTTTTCCAAGTAACATGTGCAGTATTTTATTTGATAGTTTGATATCTAAATAAAAGTAGTTTAATGTAATATTTTCAATTATATATAATAAAACAAACTATAGCAATACCCCGAGTTTCTGGTAATTGATCCAAAATTAATTTTGAATGTGAAAATCCTAGTGACATACTCTGATCATACATTTTAATCATTGCACATACATTCCACAATTCTACAATACTTCCATTTATAATAAATTTGCTGAATATAGTTTCTAGCCATCGATTTTTCTTTTCATCAACTACTACATTAGAAGCCATTTTACAAAATCTAGGTTCGTTTTCATTGGCATGTTCACTGGTTTTGTTATAACTATTAGCCCTTCGTAAATTATTGTAGTACTCTTTGGATAAAGCAACGTTGATCAAATCCGATGCTTTGTTATGAAGGAAATTTGTGCTAATCCATGTATGTATATATCTGTGATTGTAGAATAAATGTAAGGTATGAAGTTTCACTGACAAATTGACCATGTTGTTGTCTTCCAACTGAAACAATTATTAGAAATATTTGAAATCTTTAAGATATAAATATCTGAATATGTTTATGCTATGTTATGATGTTTACCTTTGCGTCTATAGAAAATTTCCTCAACAAAACCAACCTTTCCTGAAGAGAATGAATTTCAAATTCTTCTATTCCACAATACATTTGGGCTAACGATACAGAAGGAGGAGTAAAATCTGGTATTAAACTAGGTGTGAACCAAGTATTTAACTAAAATAATTTGTTTTTGTTACAATTATAAACCTCAAGTTTAATATACAATTTATTCTTTACCTTCAAACATTGCAATAGGGCACTAAACTCTTTCCTAGAATTATCTCTCATTCCAGTTAGAGTTGTATCATCAATTTGAAGATCAAATTTCTAAAAAAATATTGATTAATAAGCTTCTATACAGTATAAAGAATGAATGTAACAAATACCTTTGGTATTATAGGTGTTATTCTTAACAAAATATCATCAGCACTCTCCTTATTTAATGATATTGATTCAAATTGATTTTCATTCTGATATTTATTTACATTTTTACTTTCAGTTAAAAAGCTATACAATCCTTCATGTACAGTAAATTTTGTGTGCTTCATTGTTATATTTAATTTCTGGAATTTAATTTTTTTATTATTAAAACACTAATAACAGTACATTTATTATCACAATAAAATTTTGTTAATAAATCTTTTACCTCTACAGAAATAGGACCTTGCGCAATCAACATTGCCTCCAAACTAATTGCAAAGGATAATTCAACTAAACAAGGCTCACTATCTAATAAACCTTTTGGGGTATGGTGTAGCATTTTAGCCTAAAAAGTTATAAATCTCTTATATGATTTTCATAGCATTTTAAATGTTAAATTATTACCTCTGCTTCCCCAAGTGTAACATTAACTAAAAGTGATTTGGCACTATTAACAATACTGCCATCCAGATGAATATCACGTGCAGTTGCATGAAGTAACCATCCTGGGGTTTTAGAACGCAATAGAACTACAGATATATTATAAACTTGCACAGCCATAAACTAAAACATCAATATAATATAAATACAATATTCTATAAGTCGAAAAACAATAGTATTACCTGTGCAAATGTGTTAATAATTCTCGGTACTTCAATTTCCCTAAAATCCAATACTTTATTTTGAGAAAGACTTGGAAATTCATCATGATTTCTGCTATTAGATGTTTCATTGTGCCAGCTGTTGGATCTGGAAATTCTTTTAATTAAACTAGATTTTGGTCCTGAAGAATGTGGTCGTCTGGCTTCACCAATATCTTTTTTAATACGTACATCCCGAATTTCAATTGAAACTAATTTTGTTACATCAGAATTGAATAGACTACTCCGAACACTGACTTCTTCAATGTTCTGCAAACCGTTGCAATAGTTAATGTCACATTCAGCTTACAATATCATATTTATGCAGTGCAAAAGAATCATGAAAATATAAGCATATTAAAATAAAATATTCTATCACTAAAGTGTTAAAATTGATTTTTAACTCACCACACTGAAACCATTCTTATATATAACAACATCTCGTAGTGAACATGGTAGACATAATCGACCAATTCGAACTGTTGTGTGGTATTTTCTTTTAAAATGAAAAGCAAAACATAAAGGCAATGCCCTAAAATAATTAAAACAACACAATAAAATTTGGAATTTATATGGTTGATCAAAGTATTTTCACTTGCCATCTGAAGCCAGCAAATATTAAAATTAATATAGACACTAATATTATGATTTCATAAATCATCATTTTATTGAAGAAGACCAAAAAGGACTATTTTATTTTTATATTATTTGCAAACGTCATAATAATATTTTTCTAAACAGCTGTGTTTTGAAAGAATTATTTGTTCGAAGATCATTGCACAAATATATAATATAACCTATAAACAGAAACGTCATTGGAAACGATTCTTCTGCCATCTAGCGTAAATATAGAGAGTGCAATGACAGCTGTCAATATTTGTCTAAGGTTGCCATCCTGCTGTCCAGAACAAGTTAAAAGGTTTTGAACATGGGTAAAAGAAGTATATATGAGTGGTTCTAAAAAGGTGCAGGTAAAGGTCTCACAATGGTTCTAAAATGGTGCAGGTAAAACCATATTTCAGCTAACACAATATATTTTTATCATTTTTAATATTTTTATGCTATAATGCATATTTATTTTCAAACATATTATGTCATAGTTATAATACTGTTTAGAATTTTCTATATATTGTATTTTTATATTTTTTTGTTTAATATCAAATAAATATATAAATATAAAAGTATATAAATATAAGAGTTAAACTGGGAATCGATCAGATACCTATTTATTTATTATTTTCATAAAATTTTCAAAATGAGATTAAATAAAAAGCAAAACCTATTAATTATATATTAGATCAAAATTATGATATAAAAATGCTGATAATTGTCAAATATATATATATATATATATATATATATATATATCGAATATATATATATCTTATATATAAAAATGGAGCTCTCTTTCAAATGTCCGAATAAAACCCGAAAACGGCTGAATCGATTTGGCCAGTCTTAGTCTTGAAAAATTCGTGCCAATCCAGAGAAAGTCCAAAAGGTGAGAAATTATTTCAAATCCGCGTAGAAACTTTTTATTTTTAATTTGAAAATTTTTGTAGAAGCGTAATCTAAATAAAACAATGGAAGGTTGCTAATCCGTGAAATGTCAAACATTTTTGACAGACGATGTTCAATTACGTTCAATAGGATATTTTACGTGAATATTATTTAATTATAGTTAAATTGTAGTAAGTAGCTTTGTTTGTAGTTTTATTTATATATAAAAACGTTAGTAAACGGGCCGCAAGTGTTACTAGAGACTCAAAATATAAACTTTTTTGATATGTTAATATGAAAATGCATTTTTGGCATATTTTTCTCAAACACGGTGCTCTGAAAGATCTTATTTGTATAATTATATGCTCATTGGTATTTATAAAACATTTTCTAGGTTGTTGCGGAAGGTCCGGGGTTAAAAAGGCCAACCACCGATTTGTCAAAAATCAGTAAAGTTAAGCATTGTTTAACAACAATATTTGAAAGTAGAGGAAAAAAGATTTATAGCCAGCTACAAGCTTGATTTGAAAACGGTAATCTTTTCCAGTTATAATTTCCCAGAATTTATCGCAGAATAGATAGTAATATATGAAGGCCCGGAGTTAAAAAGGCCAACCACAGATTTGTCAAAAATCAGTAAAGTTAAGCATTATTTAACAACAATATTTGAAAGTAGAGGAAAAAAGATTTATAGCCAGCTACAAGCTTGATTTGAAAACGGTAATCTTTTCCAGTTATAATTTCCCAGAATTTATCGCAGAATAGATAGTAATATATGAAGGTCCGGGGTTAAAAAGGCCAACCACCGATTTGTCAAAAATCAGTAAAGTTTAGCATTGTTTAACAACAATATTTGAAAGTAGAGGAAAAAAGATTTATAGCCAGCTACAAGCTTGATTTGAAAACGGTAATCTTTGAAATGGGGGAGATAAACGGTAATCTTTGAGAATACATAATAAAAGTATTTTCTTCCGTTGGTAGTTTTTAAGCATTAGTTAAAAATGTAATTATTTTGTAAAATACCTTTAAAACTATAATAAGGCTTTAAATCTTTTTGCCACCTGCCAGTTTCGAGTTTGCCGGGTCAGCTAGTATATATATATATATATATATATATATTCTTATATATAAAAATGGAGCTCTCTTTCAAATGTCCGAATAAAACTCGAAAACGGCTGAATCGATTTGGCCAGTCTTAGTCTTGAAAAATTCGTGCCAATCGAGAGAAAGTCCAAAAGGTGAGAAATTATTTCAAATCCGCGTAGAAACTTTACATTTTTAATTTGAAAATTTTTGTTGAAGCGTAATTTAAATAAAACAATTGCCGGTGGCAATTTCGTGAAATGTCAAACGCTTTTGACAGATGATGTTCAATTACGTTTAATAGGATGTTTTACGCAAATATTATTTAATTATGATAAATTTGTAGTAAGTAGTTTTGTTTGTAGTTTTATTTATATACAAAAAAGTTAGTAAACGGGCAGCAAGTGTTACTAGAGACTCAAATATCAACTTTTTGAAATGTTAATATGAAAATGCACTGGTTATAGAACTGGTTAATATGAAAATGCACAGGTTATAGAACATATAGGAGTTCTGATGCTGTTCGAACCATAAAAAAAATATATAGACTTTGGATTATCCGGAATTCGGATTATCCGGACTTCGGATTATCCGGACTTCGGATTATCCGGACTTCGGATTATCCGGAATTCGGATTATCCGGAATTCGGATTATCCGGAATTCGATTATCCGGAATTCGGATTATCCGGAATTCGGATTATCCGGAATTCGGATTATCCGGAATTCGGATTATCCGGAATTCGGATTATCCGGAATTCGGATTATCCGGAATTCGATTATCCGAATTCGGATTATCCGGAATTCGGATTATCCGGAATTCGGATTATCCGGAATTCGGATTATCCGAATTCGGATTATCCGGAATTCGGATTATCCGGAATTCGGTTATCCGGAATTCGGATTATCCGGAATTCGGATTATCCGGAATTCGGATTATCCGGAATTCGGATTATCCGGAATTCGGATTATCCGGAATTCGGATTATCCGGAATTCGGATTATCCGGAATTCGATTATCCGGAATTCGGATTATCCGGAATTCGGATTATCCGGAATTCGGATTATCCGGAATTCGGATTATCCGGATTCGGATTATCCGGAATTCGGATTATCCGGAATTCGGATTATCCGGAATTCGGATTATCCGGAATTCGGATTATCCGGAATTCGGATTATCCGGAATTCGGATTATCCGGAATTCGGATTATCCGGAATTCGGATTATCCGGAATTCGGATTATCCGGAATTCGGATTATCCGGAATTCGGATTATCCGGAATTCGGATTATCCGGAATTCGGATTATCCGGAATTCGGATTATCCGGAATTCGGATTATCCGGAATTCGGATTATCCGGAATTCGGATTATCCGGAATTCGGATTATCCGGAATTCGGATTATCCGGAATTCGGATTATCCGGAATTCGGATTATCCGGAATTCGGATTATCCGGACTTCGGATTATCCGGAATTCGGATTATCCGGAATTCGGATTATCCGGAATTCGGATTATCCGGAATTCGGATTATCCGGAATTCGGATTATCCGGAATTCGGATTATCCGGAATTCGGATTATCCGGAATTCGGATTATCCGGAATTCGGATTATCCGGAATTCGGTTTATCCGGAATTCGGTTTATCCGGAATTCGGTTTATCCGGAATTCGGATTATCCGGAATTCGGATTATCCGGAATTCGGATTATCCGGAATTCGGATTATCCGGAATTCGGATTATCCGGAATTCGGATTATCCGGAATTCGGATTATCCGGAATTCGGATTATCCGGAATTCGGATTATCCGGAATTCGGATTATCCGGAATTCGGATTATCCGGAATTCGGATTATCCGGAATTCGGATTATCCGGAATTCGGATTATCCGGAATTCGGATTATCCGGAATTCGGATTATCCGGAATTCGGATTATCCGGAATTCGGATTATCCGGAATTCGGTTATCCGGAATTCGGATTATCCGGAATTCGGATTATCCGGAATTCGGATTATCCGGAATTCGGTTTATCCGGAATTCGATTATCCGGAATTCGGATTATCCGGAATTCGGATTATCCGGAATTCGGATTATCCGGAATTCGGATTATCCGGAATTCGGATTATCCGGAATTCGGATTATCCGGAATTCGGTTTATCCGGAATTCGGTTTATCCGGAATTCGGTTATCCGGAATTCGGATTTATCCGGAATTCGGTTTATCCGGAATTCGGATTATCCGGAATTCGGATTATCCGGAATTCGGTTATCCGGAATTCGGTTATCCGGAATTCGGATTATCCGGAATTCGGATTATCCGGAATTCGGATTATCCGGAATTCGGTTTATCCGGAATTCGGATTATCCGGAATTCGGTTTATCCGGAATTCGGATTATCCGGAATTCGGATTATCCGGAATTCGGATTATCCGGAATTCGGATTATCCGGAATTCGGATTATCCGGAATTCGGATTATCCGGAATTCGGATTATCCGGAATTCGGATTATCCGGAATTCGGATTATCCGGAATTCGGATTCGGATTATCCGGAATATCCGGAATTCCGATTAATCCGGATTATCCGGAATTCGGATTATCCGGAATTCGGATTATCCGGAATTCGGATTATCCGGAATTCGGATTATCCGGAATTCGGATTATCCGGAATTCGGATTATCCGGAATTCGGATTATCCGGAATTCGGATTATCCGGAATTCGGATTATCCGGAATTCGGATTATCCGGAATTCGGATTATCCGGAATTCGGATTATCCGGAATTCGGATTATCCGGAATTCGGTTTATCCGGAATTCGGTTATCCGGAATTCGGATTATCCGGAATTCGTTATCCGGAATTCGGATTATCCGGAATTCGGATTATCCGGAATTCGGATTATCCGGAATTCGGATTATCCGGAATTCGGATTATCCGGAATTCGGATTATCCGGAATTCGGTTTATCCGGAATTCGGATTATCCGGAATTCGGATTATCCGGAATTCGGATTATCCGGAATTCGGATTATCCGGAATTCGGTTTATCCGGAATTCGGTTTATCCGGAATTCGGTTTATCCGGAATTCGGTTTA